CTCTTGAATGCTGCAGATGTCAAACCAAAGGTGTGCACTACCCCATGTGGTCAGTGATGATGTTTTGAAAGAAAGAAATGAAAATCTTTTGGTCATTTCCTTTTAAAATTGCAAAATAAAGAAAAAGGTACCGAGCAGAAAGAAATAGTGGAGGCTCAGATCGGATCTGTGGGTGGCGGTTAGTGCAGGACTTGCTGGTGCTGGCTTTCAGAGCACAGGGGAGTCTGGGAAACTGGTGACAGATACAACATGGGAAGCATGAGACCACAGGCATTGTTAGGACACGGGAAGCATCGTGGAGGTCACATGCATTGTTAAGGCTTTTGCTTTAGCTGTTCTTGGTGACTTCGTTTCTGGGGTTACTTAACAACTGACTTTGAGGACAACATTGATAGGGGATTGGCGCCGTACAGATACAAAGCAGATTCCCCAACTGACCGGCTCTTGTTACACATGAGTGCTGATGGCTTCACCTCCTGCAAGATGTGCACAGGCATAAATCGTTCCTTCTCTCAAGGCTGCCTTTTGTTTCAGAACACTTAACACAAGGCGGAAATGGTAAGCTATATCTGGGAAGAACAAAGCATCATTAAATATAGTCAATCATCACTTAAAAACTGTAGCCACCAAGGCCATCTCAAACAAGAGCATTCCTTTACTTGACCCAGTTGTAAAACAAAAACAAAAGAAAAAGTAAAGAAAAAACAACAAACAGAACTCAGTGCCGTCCATAGATTGGCCTGATGTCCTTGCGGAAGAGATGAAGCCCCAGGAAGCGGGAGACCTCTGCTGTGGCCCGGCTGGGGCTGAGAGGCGAGCACAACTGTAGGGTGTGCTCAGGAGAGTCTAGTGTGGGGAGCAGGTTCTGTGCGGGTGGCGAGCATCTGCCTGACACATCCGGGAAGTCTCTGGAACTTGCTGCCTTTGGAGAAGTCGGAGCTGGCCAGTGCTGCATTCGTAATGAGGACGGGTGGAGGACAGTGGAAAGGGCTGCTTCGGACGCGGTGGTGAAACTGGGTTTTGTTTCCTGCCTGACTTAGAACATGCCCTTTGCGCTTTGGTAGATAAATGGGAAGAAAAGGCTCCTCGACTTCCGAGTAAATTCTGGGGTAACCAGGATGTGTGAAAGATGTTTTCTCCCCTGCAAGAACCATTTTTTTCTCATTTGATACTGTTTCATTTTTTTTTAGAATTACATCAAAATGTAGCCTGCCTTCCCTCCCTCCCTCTCTCCCTCCCTCCCTCCCTCCCTCCCTCCCTCCCTCCCTCCCTCCCTCCCTCCCTCCCTCCCTCCCTCCATTGACGAAGCTTTTGAACTAGGTCCTTCCCTGTCCCTTCTGTGCTCCTTTCCGAGTGAGGCCGTAGCTCTGAGCCCCAGGGTTGTCTGTCAGCCTGGGCGTCCTCTGCACGCGCCTCCTGTTTACTTTTCTTCTTCTTTGTCGCCCGCCTTCTGTGCTTGTCTTTGTCCTGTTTCTTTTTCTTTTCCTTCCTGCTCTACTCAAAGAGGACAATCAGCTTCAAGTTCTCTTCTTCCCCCGTGACCTGCTTCCTCCAGTTAACCCTGTTTCCAAAGGTTTCCGTCACCTTCCAGCAGTGCCGTCACATGGGTGACTGGGGTGGGTCAGAGCCTCAGGAGCAGTCGTTGCTGTACCCAGCAGCTGAGGCCAAGCTTCACCACTTAGGTCTTTGGAGCATGCGTCTATCGATGGTTCAGACAGGAGGCTTACAGCAGGTGGGTTGGGTTGACTAAAAAGTTCTGAGGGCCAAAGAATCAGTTCATTCACGTATCATTTTCCTCGTGGCTCTTTCTTCTTCAATAAAGGGGGTTCCTCCCAAAAAGTTCTCTCTCAAAAAGCTCTCCTTAGGATTTCTCCTTAAAAGTTCTAATAATTTTCCCTCTATAAACTCTCTCTTAAAGTTCTCTTTCAAAAGTTCTCCTTAAAAATTCTCCTAGAGTTCTTTCTGAAAATTCTCTAAAAGTTCCTTTTAAAAATTTTCTAAAAGTTTCTTCTAAGAATTCTCCAAAAGTTCCCTTTTCCTTACAGGCTTCCAGTTATGTACCCCCAGGCACATTTAACAACCCTGACAACTGCATATCTGTCAGAGCCAGGGAGGTAGAAAAGATTTTGACAAAAGCAGGGTGCCTCATGTTGTCAGGGCAAACTCTAGTCTCAGAGGGGATGCAACTTGCAAATTGTGCAGTTAATTGATTAAAGGGGACTCAGCGCTCTATAAAAGGGAAAAACTAAGGCCATAGTGTGAGATCCAGAGGCTGCTGCTTCCAGCCTCTGTAAGTAGTCGCGCTCTTACCATTGACACCCAGGAGAGACGAAATTCCTTCCTCTGGGGTCTGCACCCAGTATATAGTCGATTCACAGCCAAATTCATAGTAACAAATACTCTGGAGTTGATACCTAGACTATTAATTGCTACTTCTTTAATAAATGATAAAGGCTCCCAACACCTCACCCCAAATTGGAACAGGATTGACGTGGGTACACCTCATATTACTAATGTCACTAACTGAGAAAAGTGTTTCTCATCCTGGGCTTTTTTATAAGCAGAGTGTGGTTCAATGATGGGCCTAGTGGTCATGGCTTCATGTGTTATTTAGCGTTTCCATAGTGCGCAAACAGAGAACATGTCTTATGTAAAATATTAGAGTTAGTGTCCAGAGAAATGCAGTTTTTAATTTTTCTTTTATATTTAATTCAACAGGAACTTTTTAAACAGGACAGTGATTGTACTTACACAGTCCCCCAGAAGCCCTGTAAAGCCAATAGGCTGTAGATGTGACTATGAGGAGTTTGGTTAATTAGCTTATGCCATCAGAGTCTGAGTAGACACAATGGTTGTCTTAAGGTTGGAGAGCCTGGGAAACCAATAAGCGGGATGGCTTGGGAAAGAGGGGCAGTGGCTTTGCCCGAAAGCTTCTTGGCGAGTTGCTGGGAGCACATGGAGAGGTTGGAGGATCTAGAGGCTGGTGTCATGGGTAGGGGAATTGGGAACATGCCCTGCTTAGAAAGCATGGAGCTGTGTAAGCTCCCCTCTGCCCCCATCCCCATCTCAGCTGCCTTCCCCACGCCTCTGGAAACACCTTTACAGACACCCAGAGTCTGCTTATCATTCTTCCGGGTATTTAAAGAGCCAACCCGGTCAGCTTGACAGCTAGGATTAACCATCAGTCTTGAATAGTGGGAGTCTTTCTTCTTTGAGTGCCAAAGGCCAGTGACAATTTTGCTCCATCCCAGTCATTACTTTTTACTCAGTTAAAATCTGTCTGAAGCCACATTTGTGAACAAGGTGATGAGTTAGAGCTGTGCTGGGGATCTGTAGCTTTATCTTTCCTTTGTGTTCTGGTCCAGCCCACAGGCATTGGGTGGCAGCTCTCTGCGAAGGTTGGTCTTCATCTGTGGCTGTTTGTCAGTCACCATGGCCTTTGAAGGGCTGAGTGGAGGAATCAGAGTCTGTTTGTGGAAGATGCATTCTGCAGCCCCCTCAGGGTTTCTCCCATGCTTGTAGTTTCCATGGCATTGGCCCACCATCAGCAGCAGGGGTCCGTTTCAGCACTGGCTTCCAGTCCTTGTTTCTCTGTTACTATGGAGACTGCCTAGAAAGTGGCAGAAAAGCCAAAAGTTAAAAAAAAAACCCAAAAAGTCCCACCAGTGATTCAGTAACAATATAGACAGGAACCGTATGTGGTGTAGCCATGCATTCGTAACTCGGCGTGACTCTCAAGTGAGTGTGGGACACAGCTCAGTACTTTGAACAGATCCAAGTTAACAACTTGGGTGGTGCGCAGAAACGCTGAACAGAGGCTGACGTTAGAGCCTGCTGAATATCACCTAGAACAGGAAGAGCACGTGGGCATCACAGTCCAAACTGGTGAGCCCAGCCACAGCGTGGGCGCAGAACCCGAGAGCAGCATCGAGTGTGCCATACCACGTCTAAAGCACACGGCAGTCATTATGTGATTTTGGTGGATTTGGTGTGTGTGGTGTGTGTGTGTGCGCGCGCGTGCGTGAGTGCGTGTGCGCGTGCGTGAGTGCGTGTCTGGTACTCTAGGAGCACTGTGGAAGCAGGGACACAAAGATTGAGACAGAGGCCCAGGAATTCTACCGTGAGACAGTGTCTTCTGTGTATGACAAGGAAGCTGTGCCTGTGAAATCTCAGTGCTGCGGTCACCTAAACAAGACCTGCACAGCAACATCACCAGTTGACATCCAGTGTGCTTGGGAGAACTCCCCACCCCGGGATGAATGCTGAGAAGGGAGACCCCTACTTGTGGGTATCTAGTCCCAAATACACACACACACACACACACACACACACACACACACACACACACACACACACACACACACACACACACACACACACAGCCTTTGGGGGACCATTAGGCCTCACTTGTCCGTCTTTGGATGGCACGGTGCTTCTTAGTCACACACGTCACCCCACTATGGAGAGGAAGGTGCCAACACTCAAAAACCTCCTTTGAGGTCTTGAGAGCTTGGAGGCTGTTTTTAGGGAACAGACCCAGAAGTCTTAACGACAGACATATGATGTCAGGCTTGCAGGCACGCTCCTGCTTCCCTATGTCAGATGAGTGACAGCTCGTTGCTAATGAAACAACCACGGACCATAAACCACTCTGTGATTTTGGTTCAGAATTGCCCGTTTTCTTCTTGGGCTGGACTGCGTGTTTGTGCGCTCTGCAGCCCGTCAGTCCCATGTCGCTGCTCACGGAAGTGGTGTCATGTCTGCTCATAATTGTGAGCAGGAAACGCTCGCCTCTCACCCTCAGAACTCTGCACAGTTTCGCATATGCCTGGCTCTCCCTAACGTGCTGAGCTTCAGCACAGGTTCAGACAGCAAGTGAAGCGCGTGAGGGGTAAGGCGGAAACCGTTTCCAGGTCTGCCTCCCCGATGTGGGCTGGGTAAAGAGAAGGGGCAAGAGATGCCTGTCCCCTCTCACAGGCAGACCTGTGCTCTGTCCTCAGGAGAGTCAAGCCCCACGCGCCGGGAGGCTGTGAAGAGGAGGACGGCCGAGTACCTCATGCGTGCAGAGAGCATCTCCAGCCTCCGGGCCTCGCCTCGGCTCGACAGCGGACTGCAGGTATGCCAGGGGCCTTCTCTCCACGTTCTTTAGCTTTTCTTTCTGCCCTCCAGCTTTACTTATAGCTAGACCGTCTGAGTAGAGGAAGAGGGCTCGCTTCTCAACCTCAGCCTTCCGTTCCTTGCCTCTGCCCTGGGCAGATGAGGACAAGAGTTTGAGGAGGGAAGGTTGGTTCTGGCTGTCCAGACGGTCCCGGCAGAGAGGGGCACAGAGGCAGAAGCAGCTCAGGGCTTGCTCACACCTGTGTGGAGCGGGGAGCGGAGGGGGGAGTGAGCGCAGCCCCTGAGGGCTTGCTTCTTTTCCTGTTCCCGTCCTGTTCTGGACCTGAGCCCATGGCGCGGTGCTGCCCACACTCAGGGCGGCCCGTCCTCTTCCTCATCCTCATAGACACCCAGCAGTGTGTCTCCTAGGTGATTCCAGGTAAGATTGACAGTGCGGATAAAGTATCACACGATTATTGTCCTAACCTCACCAGCTCGTGGATACCACACCCCTGCGCTTGAGTTTCTGATGTCACAGTTCTCACACTCCCTGAGCTGATGTCACAGTTCTCACGCGCACACCTGTGCAGCTGATGTATCAGTTATGTTGAAACTGTTTTGGGGAAAGCCCTGTAAGGATTTGCTGGAGGCTGCCTGTAGCTGCTGAGGTACTACGATGTAGGGATGTTGTAGGTTATTTGGGACTACCCCAACCTTGTTTACATGGCATAAGGCTTTAGAAACATTGTTGTTTATTGCTTTTATATCAGGTCTATCTGGGTTTGTCCACTTTCTGGAAGTACCTTTTTTGCTTTAAATTCTTACTAGGGTTTTCTGTAAACTGGACAAAGTGTTTATTTCCTTAATTGATCCAAGGGGCCGGTAGTCTTGGTATATTCTGTGGCTGGAAGCCATGAAGGAGACAAAAAAATTCTTTAAAAATTATAGTTTTTAGTGTGTCAGCTTGTGTGCACACATGTGTGTGTACATGTACAGTGGGAGCAGATTTTCCCCGAGTTGGTCCCAGGGATTAAATTCAGGTTGGAGACTTGGCGGCAAGCCCCTTATCCTCTGAGCCCTCTTGCTGGCCCTGCGAGTGCTTTGGCATAGACATTTCCTAGTGTCGGTTTCTGCATCTGGAAAATGAGGGTGGGCTTGCTCCTTTTTTGGCCAATTGCTATGACTGTTCCTAACCACGGATGCAGAGCTTCTGTCCCCCACAGAGCAAGTGTCTTCCTTTTCCATTTTGTATTGGGAACAGAGATGAAAATATCAAATGACACAGGTGCTATGCTGACTCCATCCTGTAAGGCCACAGTGTTATAAGAATGCCCCCAGCAGTCACTCTGGATGTTACCTACGATGCCTTCTGTCCCTCCTGTGCATCCCTGGTCAGGATCCTACCGCCTTTCCATGAGCCATGGCTTGTTTCTGTAAGATTCGCTTTGTTAGCCCATCCTGTCTGAATGGTTTATAACATGGCGTACTTGGAGTCTAGCTCAAGGCCTCCTGGGGGTCTCTTGGTTTGGAGAATCAACCACGATGTCGATGAGTCAGAGCCTCACTTTAAGCATAATTTGTAGTGAAAATAAAGCTGATGTCTAAAGAGGCTACTCATTCATCAGCCGTCTTTTAAGACTTGGCGTGTAGCATCCCTCCAGGCACACGTGGGAGCCGCACAGAGCATGACACAGCTCTCTTCTTGAAACCCTACAGCATGATGGAGCACAGCTCTGTAGCTCAGAAGGTGGAGAGATTGCCCGAGCTGACACAACAGTGGGGAATTGTTCCTGAAGGGCAAAAGGGAGCAACCACTGACTCTGATCTGATAGGGAACTTGTGTTTGTTTCTGATGAGGCAGCTGGTGTCTGTCTTTATTGTGAGCATTTGTCTTTCATTTCCTGCTTGTATGCTTTCTGTGAAGGCTGCCTCCACACTGCTAGGATCAGGGTTGGGCATTTTCTTGAGATAGCCTGGGGAACCCATTGTTTCTCTCCTGTAACGTCTTTGAGTCCGAATTCAGTGGACACGATGAGGATCGATGTGAGTGATTCTGCCCTTTTTCTTAGTGTTGGGCAAGGAGTCACTACTTCTCTGGTGCAAACGTCTCCCTGTCGCTGCTTCAGTAGATAAAGGACTCCTTTGGGGGCTTTAACATTGTGGTCTCCATCTTCCTCTCTGGGGGCAGTGGCTGCTCCCTCTCTCTGTCCCGGCCTTTCCTTTGCTTTATTGAACTTGGAAGCCTTGAAGCCCCTTAGGTAATTGTAGAAACCCCAAACTTCCCATTATTTGTAATCATACCCTCCACAAACAAATGCTGGAAAAGAGACCAGTGGAACACCGTCCCAGCTTTGCTTCCTTCCTCATAACGGAAAGCTGCAAGAAAGCTGGAGAGGTAGCTTTCTGAGAAAGTAGAATTTTCACTGAGGGACACAGAAAGCTGGAGAGGTAGCTTTCTGAGAAAGTAGAATTTTCACTGAGGGACACAGAAAGCTGGAGAGGTAGCTTTCTGAGAAAGTAGAATTTTCACTGAGGGACACAGAAAGCTGGAGAGGTAGCTTTCTGAGAAAGTAGAATTTTCACTGAGGGACACAGAAAGCTGGAGAGGTAGCTTTCTGAGAAAGTAGAATTTTCACTGAGGGACACAGAAAGCTGGAGAGGTAGCTTTCTGAGAAAGTAGAATTTTCACTGAGGGACACAGGTTGCTTTTATTTTTATTTTTCCAAACTGTGAAAGATTTAAAATAGCATTTTTGCCTAAAGAAAATTTAAAATCAATTACATTTAGAAGAGAAACAGTAAATTATCTAAATGGAGGACATAAAACATGTAAATACATTTTACCCTGCAGTTACTAGGGCGAGTGAATGTCACCACGTAGAGTGATGTACAGTGCTCTGAGGTCCTGCAGATTCTGAACACAGCTGTGATGATGGCATCGATGATGCATCTGTGTTTGCTGATGCTGTTGGCTGACTTGTCCAGTGTCACTGGAAGATGTTGAAACTCAGCGAGAGAGGCGGCAGTAGGGCATGGGACTCAGTAACAGGTGGCTAGATGTCAGGCGTGCCAGCCATCTAAGGGAGAGTGGTTGAGCTACCCGTTTGTTCAGGAAGTCTTTGCAAAGCTAGAACTGCAGAAGAGCTTGTGTTCAGGGACTTCATGGGCTGGGTGTTGAAGTTCCAAGCTCTGTGTATCTGTCTGCCGTCTGTCTGTCTGTCTGCCTATCATCTGTCTATCTGTCATCTATCTACCTATCATCTTTCTATAATCTATCATCTATCTATCTATAATCTATCATCTATCTATCTTTCTTTCTCTCTTTCTATCTCCCCACCCACCTACCCATCCATCCATCATCTATCTATAATCTATCATCCATCCATCCATCCATCCATCCATCCATCCATCCATCCATCCATCCATCCATCCATCCATCCGTCATCCATCTGTCATCTATCTGTCTGGCCTCCTGCCCTCCCTACTGCAGGTTATAAGTGTCCACTGATGCCCTGAGCCAGAGTCTGGATTCTTTGCTCTTGTTTGTCACTTACTTTCCCCAACTCCAATGACTGCTGCTCTGGTGCTCTGAGTCGGGGGAGGGGGGGGCAGCATCAGGAGCTGGTGGGAGGCACAGAGTCTTGGGCGCCTCCTCTCCTGGCTCTTCCCTTTGGTAGGCCTCAGACAAGGCGCATGAAGACTGCAGTAGAGGGACGCTGCACCTGCGGGGGTGGAGACTGCGCAGTGAGAACACTCAGTGAAAGACTTGGTTAGGTCAACCGGCAACTTAGCAGAGCAGAACTCTAAGGACAAACCAGGCAGTCTTCACTGAGCTTTTTAGAGGACAGAAAGAGAAGCAGATTTTTACTGTGTGCTAACTGCAGGTAACAGGCACTGGCTGTGGAGAGCACTACAGGAAGCTCTGCGTCCTGGCTGCCTAGGCCTTGGCCAGCTGAGCAGTGTGACCTTGCCATCTCTGATGTCATCAAACCTTCTTGTCTCACCCCTCTTGTCTGTGTTTAGTCCTGGCATATATGAACCTAACCCTTCTTTTTTGACATCACCTGCTATAGCAGCCCTTACATACAAGAGAAGCACTCTTTTTACAGCAAAGGGCATCAGCTGTGTTGCCTGGGAAGTCATTGCCTGCTCCTTGAACACAGTGCTGCTCTTAGCAGTGCTGGTAACAGAGTTAATATTTCATTCATTTTGGGGCAGGGTGTCTTGTGTAGCCCTGGCTGGCCTCACCTTCGTGGGTAATCCTCCTGTGTCAGCACCCTGAGTGCTGGGATTACAGGCATGCACGACTCGCCTGGATACTCTTGTAGGTGACCCCTCTCTCGGGTTACTAGCCTTGGTCGTCACAGATGCTTGGCTGGACTGCTTCGCAGTCTCCTCTGTTAGAGAGAGAAGAGGACCTGGGGTGTGGATTTGGTCCCTGCAGCCTCTGTCTACTCTTAAAATTGTGTGGATTTCCTCTCCTTTTGTTTCCCAAAGACAGGCATAGGTCTGTGGAGTTACACATGACTTAAATGCTGCTACATAGAAAAATAAAAGGTTTTTAAGAACAGTATGTTTATTTTTGACTACTTCATATGTATGTGCAATATATTTTGATCACATTCATTCTTCAGTTCTCCCAGATCCAGCCCCCACTTTCATTCTCACACCCTTCCAATTCTGTGTCCAGGTGCATGCCCCGTGTCTTCACGGGTAGGCTCAGGTGGACTGCCCGTGTGCTCATGGGCGTGTGCCCAGGTGTGTGCCCAGGTCTTCCTTTTTCTGGGTAATGCAGCAGGGCTGTGTGCACGCGTGCATGTGTGCACGTGTGAGTTTCTATCTGTGTGCTGTGTCGTAGAAAGACTGTCGGCCGTCGTGTGGGGAGCTGAGGTCCATCTAGGACGCCACTGTCTCTCTTTGTGAGCAGATTCCCTAGTCCAGTTTCCCTTTATGCAGGGTAAAACAGGTAGTGTTAGAGCAGCTTCCTGTGAGCGCCTCACAGTGGGGAGTGGGGGTAAAGATGAAGTCGGATAGCATAAACCACACAGAAGAGTAGAAGAGGCTTCCTATAATAGCGCCAACGGAACACTAATATCATGATATACATTTGTGTGCATAAACTACATTCTCCTAGACTTTAAGCTTCTAAGGAGGCAACAATGCATCCATTTTCTGATATCCATTTTAGTTCCTAACGAAGTGGGATATCAAATAACATTTGACACATCTAAGAGAACCAAATCTTGTCATTTAGAAAAGATCATTATTGTCTAGTACTGTAACATTGAAGCTGGGGCTAGGGATGACTCTGCCAGTAAAGCGTGAGGACTTTGGGTCTCAACACCCACGCAAAAGGCAGAGTATGGCATTGCATGCCTGTAATCCTAGCGCAGGGGAAGCGAGGACCAGACACCAGGATCCATGAAGCCTGACCATCAGCCAGTCTAGTCATTCACTGAGAGACCCCACCCCCAGCAGTAAGATGGAGAGAGACTGAAGGAGGCATCCACACCACACCACACACACACACACACACCACACACACACACCACATACACACCACACACAAACACACACACCATACCACACACACAACACACACATACACACACCACACACACACCACACACACATAAACACACACACTCGGAGCCTCAGCCAGATGTAGTGCTTCTCTGTAATCCCAGCATATGGGAGGTAGAGGCATGAGGATCCAGAGTTCAAGATTAGCCTTGGATACACAGCAAATGCAAGGCCAGCCAGCCCGGGCTACATGAACATCTGACTACAAAATCCAAACCAAACTAAACACCCCCCCCCATCACCATTGCAGATGATCTGGATTCAGCTTTTGCTCTCTACACCCAGGATGAGGAATCAAGTTGGAGGCTTGCTTTGGACAGTTGCTTAGATGGCAGCTTCTCCATGATAACTGCACCCAGTTCCCCCAGGCATCCTCCTTGCTGGCTTCCCTCTCTCTCTTCCTCTCTGTTGGCCCAACCAACACCTCAGCTGCTGCTGCAGACCCCCCCCAAAAAAAGAGGGCGACCAGGGTACAGTTCTTCCTAGGAGCTCTGTCTGGCCGTGCCCTCTGCACAGGGCCATAAGCGTCCAGAGCGGTGTCTCGGTAATTCCCTCATCATGCTGAGTTTTGTTGTCTCCGCTCTGTTCTCATCTGGTTTGTTGAAAGACCTTCTGTCTCGTGTAACAGGCTTTATGTCCCCTGACATCCTTGGAGTGTCACTGTTTTACCGTGAGGAGTAATTACAGAAGTCCTTTCTGGACTCAAGTGCCAACTGGAGATGTTACGAGTCTTTCTCTTCTAATGGCTTATTTTACTGTAGGGGCGCGGTGAGTGGCGGAGCTAACTGGAGTTTGGAAATTAATATGTTTTTAACTGTGGCACTCAAGCAGCCTTTTCTCATGTTCACTGATCTTTTCTGTAGCTAATAGACTGTTTCCCACATCACAGATATTCAAATATTTGAAGAAAAGTTCTTCTTCTCGTAAATCACCCCCAACCTTTGTTATAATAATTACTGGTTATATTGATGGGGTGCTTATTTTTTTCACCATTGTTTGGTGATTTTTCTTGTTGAACTCAAATGTGCCGATTCTTCTTAAGACATGGCATTTAAGGATCTAAGTGCTTGCTTTATTTTGTAAAGAAACATTACAGGAGCCAGTTTCAAGGTAAGAGGATAGATACCTTATGCCCTTCTGTTCCAAGTGAATCTGTTAATTATTTTTTTCTTTGTTTCCTTCTTCTAAATTACTTTTGGTCTGTCTGGGGTAAATACAAGGTTGTCGCTGACTCTGGCCCACTTACTTGATAGACATTTTCATGCCAGCTCTAAAAACAGTATCTGCTCATTAACTTCTCCTTTTAAAAACCTGTTTTCAGTACTGTGACTTATTTACTTGTGCTTTTGTCTTGCTTTTTCGTTTTGATTTTCTTTATTTTGATTTTTTTTATTTTACATTACAGACAAACAGCAACTTTCTCCTTTGATCTTCCCTTCTCTGATTTATGATAAATTTAGTTTCCTTTGGCCCGACGTTTGTTTCAGTAGGCAGTCTTCCTTCAAGTACCTCCCCGATTGATGTGTAATCTTTGATATCTTCTCTTAGCCTCCAGGATCACTAAGTTCAAGGCCCCCTTGGAACCTAAGGAGCCCCGCCGAGGAGCTGAAGGCCTTCAGAGTCCTTGGGGTGATTGACAAGGTAATTCTTCAGTGTCTCTTCAAGAGTTCAGTCATAAATGGACTGCCTGCTGACGTTCTGTCTTTGAAGCTGTGGATCTTAAGAATATGAAACAAAGGGGAAATGACTCAAATGCATCTGCACTGTACAATAACAAAGCAGCGGGGGGGGGGGGGGCTCAGCCTCAGCCGTTCACATAAGGTCATGCAGAATGCATTGTGCCAAGGAGAAGGTGTTTGCTGGCGCTCACTTGGGCACGGGGGCTTCAGGTTTCCCAAGTGTGGCAGCACTTTGTGTCACTTACATTTATGAATCTGCCTCTGGTAGACATTAATCTGTACAGTCACTTTAGTGGTCATAAGAAAGATGGAATCCTGGCAGCTGTCATTTATGGGCACCTACTATGTGGCCACTCCACATCATGCATGCACACAATCGGCGCACACATAGAGAGCTTGGTGACATGTCAGTCATGCCAAATGTTTATCAACACTGAGCCTGCCAATTTGGAAATACTGGATTGTTCTACCATTATAACATGAAAGAAAATGCCACCTAATGTTACCATGACCGAGTCTCGACCCCTTGACTACTTGGCATTGCTCCTAGAACCTTAGTGTTGTTTATTTTGGTTTGTCGTATGCCGTAGGCTCTTATGGGGCCATGCTGCCCTTGAGCAATCTGCAGTAAAGCGTGGGCAAGAGCTCAGTTTGAAGGGTTCCAAAAAGAACCTTCGTCAGAGCCTGCACGAAGTCAGCTTCATTGTTCCAGATAAACCAGTGCAGACGAAGTTTGAGCTTAAAGAAGTCTATGCAGTGGGACCTGCTGAGTGTCTCACTGTCACATCCTGTGACTCTTTGTGGCCGTTGCGTCATGGGGAACATTCTGTCTGACAGTAGGCGGAACCAGCCGTAACCGGGTGGGTTCAGTGCGGACGTTTGGTACAGACACGCCTTCTGTGTGTGCCATCTCATCCCTCCCAGACCTGTTTCTTAGGACCCTGTGACTGCTCACTGTGCTGTGACCCTCGAGCATCCCATTGGCAGTGGAGGGATCCCTGCTTCCGTAGAGGAGGCGCCCCAGCGCTGTCTGCCTCCGGTGTCTCCCGCGTGCTGTTTTCTAAGGGGCGCAAAGGAGCTCTGTGTCTGGGAATCAGTCAGCTTTGCAGGAGTCTTAGTTCATAACACCATAGCCGCTTGTGAAATGCAAGCAGGCAGATGTTAAAAATTGGATTGTTCAAGGTAAATTCCTTTCTGTTGTACTAAGGAATACCTTAAATTTGGGTTTTAGAAACTTGCGGTTTGGGAGAGAGGTGTTGAATAAACTCAGGTCTAGAAAACAACAGTGCTGATCTGGGGCAGCAGTTTCTCTGACTCTTCATTCTGTCTCATTTTAGTGTTTGCTGTTTGTGAATTATCTTGAGCTGTTTATTAACTTGGCAAGTTCAGTTTTGTATTGAACTTCATTAAGAAATAAACACCGTGCCGGGTGTCGGCGCACGCCTTTAATTCTAGCACTCTGGAGGCAGAGGCAGGCGGATCTCTGTGAGTTCAAGGCCAGTCTGGTCTACAGAGTGAGTTCCAGGATGGCCTCCAAAACAATACAGAGAAACCCTGTATCCAAAAAAAAAAAAAAAACAAAAACAAAAAACAAAAAAAACCCCCAAAACTTCGTAAACATCTATCCAGAGAGCAAACGAAACAGTGTTTTTCTTAGAGTCTACACTGCGGAGTTCACGAGCAGTGCTGTGCTGTTTTACTTTTCACCGTGTTCTTTGTGCCTAGAATTATGCCTAGCACACCATGGGCCCTCAATGCAGTTGCTGAATGAGTGAATGGAAAAAGAATTTAAAATGTATCATAGAGTGCCACCTACTGGTATAACGTGGGACTGCTCCCTAGAGCCATTTTACAATGCCCGTCTGTCTACCCAGAGGGACAAACGTGCCCTGGCTGTTTGTTGGAAGAGATCTTCTGTTTCTGAGTTGGGGCTGTTAAACCCTTTATGCAACAAGGAATTGCAGGGCCGGACTCTTAGAGTATAGATAAACAGGCGCCCATTTCGTTGCAGAAGGCTGGGGAAGGCCTTTGGAGTTGTCACAGGAAGACCAGATGGAGAAAGCGGTCGTTTTCACCTGATCAAATAGAAACCATGTGTAGAGGGCTGGGACTCTGTCACGTTTGCTTATACCTAGAGGACAAGAGGAGCACTGTGTATTCTGGGGCAGAGTGTATGTGGCACCAGGAAGGACAGGGGCTCCCTCCCTGTGAGGGGGTTGTATGAGGGGAGATGTTTGTCTCGGTCCCCGCTCCTCCCCTCCTGCAAGGAAGCACCTAGAACAGAGGAGTTCAAGCTGCAGAGAGAAAGAGAGAATTGGAGGCATGGTTAGAAATACCTGTTTTCTTCATTAATCCTCCCTCCCTCCCTCCCTCCCTCCCTCCCTCCCTCCCTCCCTCCCTCACTCCCTCCCTCTCTCTCTTCCTCCCTCCCTCCCTCCCTCCCTCCCTCCCTCCCTCCCTCCCTTCCTCCCTCCCTCACTCCCTCCCTCCCTCCCTCTCCCTCCTTCCCTCCCTCCCTCCCTCCCTCTCCCTCCTTCCCTCCCGCCCTCCCTCCCTCTCCTTCTCCCTCCCCCCCTCTCTCTGAGACAGGGTTTCTCTGTGTAGCCTTGGCTGTCTTGGAACTTGCTCTGCAGACCAGGCTGGCCTTGAGCCAGGCAGTCTAGTCGGCCTTTGTCTCCTGAGAGTCAATGTGTGCATCACTGCCCATCTAAAGCCGTCTTCGAAGGTTAGTGTCTTAACCAAAACTGGACTAGACAGGGCACCTTCCCGAGCTCTTGTCAGTAGAGGGATGCTGTGGGTGGGGTCAGGCGTTTGGTGGACCACGTGCCAGATGACTTTGAAGATGTCCTGCTCCCAGATGCATTCATAGAAGGGTGCTGAGGGTCCCCCCCCCCATCTCCCGGAAGCCCATTGCCTGTGTAGGCGCAGTGTTTTGTGTTGTAAGCATGTGAAGTACGAATGCACGCCGTGTGTGTTTCCAATGCACACGTGCTCACAAGCAGTTCACGTGGCTTGGTTGTTTGGCCATGAGAGAGCAAAGCTGAGAGTTTCTGAAGGAGTTCCCTGTTACACAGCTCACTTTCGGGGTCATAGCCTCAGCTAGTTAAGAGCCTTTGTCAGACTCCTGACCTGGAAGTTGTATTGATGCCGCACAGGTCCTCGGACAGCTGGCCGAAGAGTAACCAGGACACTTTGGAATATGTCGCAACTTCCTATGTATTAAAAATCAAATTCAAAACCAAAACCAGCCAGAATCAATGGGCGTGAAAACAGGAGATCAATAGGGACATTAGCCAAACTAAAGGCTGGTTCTCTGAACATCAGTGAGATTACTAGACCTGTAGAGAGGATAATTAAGGAAGAAAGAACTCAGATATGAGAAACCAGAGAGGGTACACCACTCCATCTTGCACAGTGAACAGCTCGGATGTGATGGATTTAATCGCTGTACAATTTGTCACTACCTCCCCAAGAGACAAAGCCTGGTAACTCACAGAGGAGGAACAGACCGTCCGTGGGAGCGAACATCTATCCACCAAGGAGACGGAGTCAGGGTTTACTCACCATCCCAAACAGCAAGCACTAGGCCCGAATGGCGTTGAATCCAGTCTGACATTTGCAGAATACATCGAACCAGTCCTCTATAATGTCTTCCAAATGTATAAAAGGAAACCGGTGGTACCCAGGTCAGGGAGGAAGGTTTCTGAGCTTACCTGGGGGTGTAATGTGACAAATAGATGGTTATATCAGGGTCACAGGATACAAACCGAATACACCATAATCAGATGTGATAAACTAGAATCTGAAATAAGAAATGGTATCAAGTGGCGTTCACAAGGACCTGGGTTTGATCCGTTCCCAGGCATCTTCCAGCTGAGTTTGAGGACAGCTGTGGTGCACACCTAGGGTTCTGAGTTTGAGGACAGCTGGGTTCCATAATGAGATCTTGTTTGAGACTGCTCTCCCTCAACCTCCAAACAGACACTGCAATGTCCATTAGGGTCCCAAATTAAATACTGATCTCTAAATGTAGAGAAATTGTGCATGTTATCTATGTAAAGAAGACTGTATAATGCTGACTGAGAGTCCCGGGCATGAGGAGAAGACCTTTCAGGAGGGGCCAGTTCTTTTCAGACTGAACTGTGATTCAGTGTAGTGTGATTCAAAGTCTCAACAGGTAATTTTGTGGACATCAACAATCTGATTCCAGAATTTACATGAAGGGACAAACGACCCCAAATAGGCAGCTACATTGAAAAAGAATCAGGACTGACACTTTCTGAGTTCAAGACTTACAAAGACTAACAGTCAAGATGGTTACAAGCTGGACTTTATAACCGTGAAAGATACTGTGATGGGGATGACAGACAAGCCTAATAGACTGGAGAAAGTACTCGAAAAAGATAACTGACCAAAGTCTGTTATCCCTAACGTACAAAGAGCTCCTAAAACCCAGTGACAACTCAGGAGCAGGCCGCAGTATAGGCAGTGGTCAAAGTGACGCGTCAGCACGTGTTGTCTGCTGCATCAAGAACTGCTACGGTGGAGGCTGCTCGGAGCGGTTGTGTGTGTGTGTGTGTGTGTGTGTGTGTGTGTGTGTGTGTGTGTGTGTGTGCCGGCCAGCAATGGGTTTGGAAACTGCATTTTTTGCAAAGTTTCACCAGATTGTTCTAAAGATAAAGTATTTAAAATGGAAGCAAAGCAAAACCCAGAACCAAAAACCCACCGTATTGGGTGAAGATGTGTCTTCATCCCAAACTGTAACGCCACAGTTCAGGTTAAGATATTAGAGTCAGGAGAAGCGTGTGGGCCACACCGTTGCTGCCGGGCTTCTGCAGATGCAGGGTGGCCGCTGTGCTTTGCATGCGGTTTTGATTGCCAGGGGCAGCCTCTGCGTCACAGGCTGCCTGCCTGTGCAGGCTTCTGTGGTCTCCGTCAATTGTTTAGATCTTCACTCAGAAG